TGAAAGACTTCAGCATGGGCTATATGGTGTCTGCCATCAAAAGAGTTTCAGGATGTACACAAGTTTGGTGAAGTGGGATCCCAGGGAGTCACCAACGTAGAGCGAGCTGAGTTCACCAGGCCAACGCAGACTCGTATTTGACTGTGTGGAGGGAGGGCTCAACACAGGGACAATGGTGGCTATCCCTACAGCCTTCACTTTAAAGCCACACAACTGAGTCTTTCCTTATATGTCTCTGGTGCCGCCAAGCCACCATACCTCCACAGGAGGCCAGAGTGAGTGCTTGGGAGCAAGGAAGTCTATGCGCAGGCTCTATAAGAGAATGCCTGTGTTTCCAGCAGCATTCCTTCTCTTCTAGACAAACAGAATCCCTGCTAATTTTCACATCCAGATGTTATGGTTGAGGCTCCTCATCTTAGCACTTGTGTTCCAGCCTGGGGAGCCCAGTGTGGGGCTGGGGCCCCTCACTCCTTAGAAAAGAACTCTGCAGCTGAGGTATCCCTCCTGATTATCAATCACCACATATGGGTATGGGATCAGCCCGTTTCTCATCTTTGCCCTTCCTACTAGTCTTTAGGTGGCTTCTTCTTTATATCCTTAGTTATAGGATTTCTGTTCAGCTAGTGTTCATATGGTTCTCCGGGCTGATTGTTCTATAATTTAGTTGTAATTTTAATGTGGTCATGGTAGGAGACAAGCATAACATTTACCTGCTCCACCATCTTGACAGGAATCTGGTTTCTCTATTAAGTTTTTATTTAACCTCTTTTATTAAAAAAGTATTTATTAGACATTTAGTAAATTAAGATAGATTTTGGGGCTTGGAAGTCAAGGATGAGGGTGTCCTGGTCCTGCTCCGCAAGCAGTCACCATTGAGTGGGGAAACATAAACCCATAAAACTAATTGTAATCCCCATCAGGATGTGGTAAATGCTGTAGATGTGCTAGTGGATGTGCTAGTGGTTTCCAGCACATCTCTCTCTGTGTTTATATTCCCTGGTTAAAACCCTTACTTATCTGTTCATTATAGCAAAGTTCCAAAAATAGCACTTTTACATTTTTTTTAAATTCATAGAGTGATTTAATAGCTTCTTACTCCTTTGTTCAATTGAGAAAAGAAGGCTTACCTATTTCTCAAGAGGATCAAGAGTTTTTGTACTTTCAATTTTCTGTAGGTATATATTTTTATAAAGAATTATAGTGCAAACTAAAGATTATTCTTCTATTGTCTAACACTTTAAAGACAAATTTCTCCTCAGAATATAATGAGAAACCTCTTGCTTACAAAAGCTGCTTGATGGGATTTTTAAAAAAATTAATAGGAGTACCTAAAAAATTCAATAAATCCCATGTTCTTCAAATAATTCAACTAAGAAATAAGGATAATACGGTTGCAGATAATGTACGTTTTCCATTGATAAATAACTATCTGTGTAGGTTGGTTTTCTACATTTTTTGTGATTTCTTATTGATAACAGTGAAAAATCGGAAATATGACATAATAAAAGAAGCCACATAATAAAAGATTAAGATTCAAGAGGCCTGAATTCTGGATATATTTGATTGCTAATTAATTGTTGACAAATTACTTACGCTCTTTGTATATTGTCTGTGTGGGAAGAAATTGGAGCAACATAACTCTGCTGGTGATCAGATGAAATACTACAGCATAACAAGGATCCATGAGTTGTCTCATGAAATGAGAATCTTCTAAGAAACATGGTTTGAAAGTAAACCCTAGTAGAGTATCCTGTCTCTAAAAGTAAATACATTATTTATTTTAAACTGCTAGGGTAGTAAATGAGGCACAGAGCTATAGGAGAGAAAAAAATAAACATTATTTTCAAATAAAAATTTTACATGGAAAGTAAATGGAATACTCTGAGTCACAACTAGACATATTCTGCTAGCTACAATATTTTTATTTTTTTTTTAAGTTCTAGAATATGCATCTATATTTTCTAGGTAGCAAAAGCTCATAGTAAGCAAAAAACTTCAAAGTCATTAAGAAAAGTCATGCTTCAGTTCTCTTCTTTATTCCTTTGCTTTAAAATCACTCTTACTAGAAATAGATATTCTGCATCAGTACTCAAATTTGGGAACTAATTTTAAAATAACTTCAACCTACACAAAGACTTTTTGGATAAAAAATAGCTGATTTTTAAAGATTTTTTTATTGATAATTTTTGAAGTTCAGTTTTAATCTTGACATGTAAAACATGAACTTAGTTTTTTGTTTACTGTTTTTTAAGTGTTATTGCCCATAGTAAATGGCTAGGATCATGGAGGCTAAGGAAATAGCTCACAGTCATACAGTCATTCAAGTAGTAGGGCCCAGATATTCCACCCAGAAATTCATTCATTTTCCACCAGAGCACTATCACAGTTGCAAAGTACTAGATAAACTAAACATGTATCATTTATTCATTTATTAAGCAAATATTTGGTGACAGCCTACCCTATACCAGATACTATTGTTAGTACTGGAATACAGCAGTGTGCAAAAGAGACAAAATTCCAACAATCAACAATGTACTGGTAAATGTTTAACATTTCGGGGCAGGGGAGGGAAGAGGACTTACTTGTAGCAACTGCTTATTTACATAATGTAATACTCCTATCATGATAGATTTTAATCTACCAACCTGTCATCACTGAGCTTAGAACTTGAGAAGAGATGAGCATAATCAACACTTGTGAATCTGTGTAACCTGGCTCTAGTGCCCCACTGAAACAATTCCTTCCCAAGTGGGAAATATACTCTAGCGGAGAGAAAGAAGCAACATACTAATTACAGGTATAGTATATCAGGATCAGATACTGAAAAGTATTATGGAGAAATAAAAGAAATTCAGGTAAGTTGAGTAGGCAGTATTGGATAAGAAGAAGCAATTTTAAGTACGATAGTCAGGAAAGACACCCTTAAGAATAACATTTGACAAAGCCCTGAAGGTGGTGAAGGAGTGGGCAAGTGGATCATAAAGGAAGAACATTTCAGGGAGGGGTCTCTATTAGCTAAATGGTAAAGGCTCCAGTATTTAGTATAGAAATTTTGAGTCTTGCCATAAGTGAGATGGGAAAATATTGATAGGTTTTCTGTTTCGTTTTTAGGCAAGGAGTGATATGATCTCACATTTTTCTAGTATCACTCTTGCTGATGTTTTTAGAGTAAACTATTTGGGGGTGAGGAAAGTTGGAAGCTCTTGCAATAATCCAAGCAAGAGGCAATGGTAGCTTGGACCAGAGTAGTAATAGAGAGAATGGTGAGGCATGGTGAAATTCCAGATGCGTTTTGAATGTAGAGCCAACAGAATTCGCTGTTACCCAAAAGATGATTCCAATGATTTTGTCTGAAGCAACTGAAAAGATGGATTTAGCATTAGAATTAGAGCAGAGCAATTTTAGAGGAAAGATTAGGGTTTGAAAGATGTATAGTTTAGTATGCCTATTAGACACCTAAGTATAGATGTAGAACATGAAGTTGGGCATATAAGTCTGGCTTGGGGGAAAGTTTTGGGTTGCAGATGTAACTGGGAGCACTCAAGATACTGATAATAATTGAAACACTGGGATTCAATGAAAGCACCAGTAGAGTAAATGTAAATTTATTTAAAATGGAGTTAGCTATTTAATAAACACATATTTCAGCACTGTCCTCAGTGCTTTACAAGTATTAACTCATTTAATTCACATAACTGTAGAAGATAAGTACTATTATTTTCCCCTTTTCACCCACACGAAAAAGAGAAACTGAAGCACAGAGAGGTTAACTAACTTTCCCAAGGTTATAAGTAAATGGTTAATAAGTGGTAGATCTTCAATTCCTAGCCAAGGCTGTCCGGATCCAGAATTCTTGTAAGAGAAGAAAAGTTGTCAAAAGGCCTTGAGGCTTGGACGCTATATTTAGAGGTCTGGGAGTTGAGGCAGATCAGTAAATCCTATTCATGGCAGGTAACATATTTTGCTTTTTCATAGCCATTCTAGCTATGCTCAGGAAGAGTAAATATATTAGTGTTTTGTTTCCCTTTATACTTTTGTATATGTTCTATAATAAGCACATATTAATAGAATCAGAAAAGATTGTATTAAAATTACAGAAGCTGCAGAGTTATTTTTTAAATCTTATTTTAATAGATGCATGCTGCAGAGCTATTTTTTAAATCTTATTTTAATAGATGCATATCATTCTCTGTTTATAGCACAGCTAAATGAGGAGATACAGTAAAAATCATTACAGAAAAACAGAAGTAAAGCTATCTGCTGGGGTGTGAATAGAGTTACCATAAAATTTATTGTCCAAAGAAAAATTCCTGAGAGTAAAAGAGAGCACTATTAATTATACAGTGACAACAGGCTTAGGTTAGGACTACCCTAAACATACCTAAGTATAGGCACCTCAGGTAGTTTCTTAATAGAGTTCATATAAATACAAGAGAACAGACTCTTATGTGGTCCATGCACACTACTACCCATTGTGGCCACCTTTTTCCTGTTCGTTATTGGTTAAATTTATTTCTTTTTTCATTCATAATTGTTATCATTTTGTTTTTTACCAGCTATTGGTTAGAACTGGACATCAGCAAACTGAGCACCACATGCCTGTTATCACACATGGCTACTGGAGATATGCTACTTCGGACTCATCAGTCTTTCAGGTGAGAAATAATAACAGACTTCATCTCTTTTGATGATTAAAGTCTCATTTCAAGGATTTGAAAAGAAATATTAAAAGTGTTAAGTATAAGTAAACTCTAGTAAGAAATTCCTTTACACTGTGATTAAATATTATATTTATAATCATTAAAAAGAATTCTCTTTATTCTTATTCTAATTTAAATTAATTGGAAAAGAAAAAATCTAAGTATCCACTTCTATTTCCTAAGCTACTTTTAATATTACAGAAATGCTAACTTTGGTGTGGAACATGTGCAAGATGGAATGGCAAAGTGGAAATACAAGGGAATATACTGTACCTTGTTTTACCTGTAAGGAACACACACCTGACAAAAGGCAATTTTCACATCCAAGGTTGGTTCACTGCAGTAGTACAATAAATGGAGGCTCATAAATACCTATAGGAAAAAGGGGTGGCATGAATTTCCAAATCACCTAATTATCATTTAATAGTATAAACTTTAATGTAATTCAAATTATATAGAAGGTGTTTAAGTATAATCCTTATTCAAACCACTACTAGGTACTTTTCACAAATCATAAATATTAAATAATAAAGTAAAAAAGTTCTAGCTTCTATAATAATCAAGGTCATCATAATCATAAAGACTAGCTAAGAAATTGGATATACTTAATAAGCTAAAATTAAGTATATCCTATTACATAGCAGTTTCATTTCTAGGCATCTAACTTTAAAAATTCTCAAATATACACACAAGAGGTTATATATATAAGGATGTTTATTGTAGAATAAAGGGACTATTAAATAAAATGTAATTTATAATAGAACTACCTTCAGGACTTAGAATAATTGAATTAGAGCTTAAGGTATCAGCATAAATAAAATTTTCAAACATGATGTTGAGTGGGGAAAAGAGCAAATTCAAAAGGATATGAAGATCACTATATTATTATGTAAAAATTTTAAATATACAAAATAATAATGTGCACTGCTTTGTTATATAACCATAAACCATAGAATAAAGCAAATAACACTGTATATTAACATTTGTTTAATCATAGTGGTAAGTACAAAATTTTCAATTATATTATTTTCTATATGTTTGAAATATTTTATAGTTCTGTAAAGTTTTAAGGAGAGAATAAAAATTATCTAATGTTGGAAATGCTATATTAGGCACTGAGTCACTTGGGAATAATGAGGCGGCATCAGAGAAGCCCAACTAAAATATTATTCAGTTCAATTAAACACATTTTGTTGAATGTTTATTGTGTGCAAGACACAATTCTTTGAGATTAAAAAATTTCAAAACCACTATTGACGCAAGACTTATTTTTGGCAATATGAATGCTTAGATATCCTGAAAACTACTCTCAATGCAAAACTCTTTAAAAAGTTAGATGAAATATACAAACTATCTTTTAAAATGCATAGCTGAGCTGCCAAAAAAAAAATGCAAGAAAAATTTTGATATGCTGAAAACAATGTGAGAGGATCTGTGCAGAGAAAGAAGTAAATGAGCTGAAGCCATTACTTATCCTCAGGACATTTGCTGATGTCTGAAGACTAGAACTTTAGTTTTTATTTTTATTTATTTATTATTAAAAATTATTTCAGTGACATTGATCAACAAACTACAATAAGTTTAAAGTGTACAATTCAACAGTATGTCATATATATATTACACTGTGTGTTCACCACCCGTAGTTAGATTTCCTTCCGTCACCACTTATTTGACATTTTACCCCTATCTACCTCTCCCCTCCCCAGTTTCCTCTGGTAACCAATAGTCCACTGTCCATGTCCATGAGTTTCTGTTTGTTTGTCATTTTGTTTGTTGCTTTTAAGTCTATATCCCACATATAAGTGATATGTGATTTTCAACTTTTTCTGTCTGGCTTATTTTGCTTAGCATGATTATCTCAAGGTCCATCCATGTTGTTGGAAATGGCAGTATTTCATCTCTTCTTATGGCTGAGTAATATTCCATTGTATATATGTACCACAGCTTCTTTATCCAATCATCTATCGTAGGACACTTCAGGTGCTTTTATGTCCTGGCCACCATAAATAATGCTGCTATGAACATCGGGGTGCATATCTCTTTTCGGATAAATATTTTCAGGTTTTTTGGGTAAATACCCAGTAGAGGGATTGCTGGATCATATGGTAGTTCAATTCTTAGTTTCTTTGAGAAAACTCCATATTGCTTTACATAGTGTCTGTACCAATTTGCAGTCCCACCAGCAGTATATGAGGATTCGTTTTTCTCTGCATCCTCTCCAACACTTGTTATTACTTGCCCTGTTGATTCTAACAGGTGTGAGATGGTATTTCATTGTGGTTTTGATTTGTATTTCCCTAATAGCTACTGAAGTTGAGAATCTTTTCATAGGTCTGTTGCCATTTGTACATCTTCTTGGGAGAAGTGTCTGTTCAGGTCCTCTGTCCATTTTTTAATTGGATTATTTGTTTTTGTTGTTATTAAGTTGTATGAGTTCTCTGTATATTTTGGATATTAGGCCCTTATCAGAGGCATTGTTTGCAAATATATTTCCCCATTTGAATGGTTGCCTCTTTGTCTTGTTGACAGTTTCTTTTATTGTGCAGAAGCTTTTTAGTTTGATACAATCCCATTTATTTATTTTTGCTTTTACTTCTCTTGTCTTTGAGGTCAAATTCATAAAATCCTCTTGAAGTCCATAAGTTTAGTATCTGTGTTTTCTTCTATGCAATTTACTGTTTCAGGTCTTATATTCAGGTCCCTAATTCATTGTGAGTTAATTTTAGTGTGTGGTGATAGACAATAGTCAATTTTCTTTCTCTTACAGGTGGCTTTCCAGTTTTCCCAGCACCATTTATTGAAGAGGCTTTCCTTTCTACATTGTAAGATTTTGGCCCCTTTATTGAAAATTATTCACCCATGTAAATGGTGGTTTATCTTCTGGATTCTCAGAAGTGGAACAATTCTGTTCCACTGGTCTGTGTGTCTGCTTTTTTTTTTTTTACCATGCCATTTTGATTATTGTCACTTTGTAGTATAATTTGAAGTCAGGCAAAGCGATTGTTCTCCAGCCTTGTTCTTTTTTCTCAGAATTGCTTTGGCTACTTGGGTCTTTGGTGCTTCCATAAAATTCTGATGATTATTTTGTCCTATTTCTTTAAAAAATGGCTATAGGAGTTTGAAGGGGATTGCATTAAATCTGTACAATACTTTAGGTAATAAGTCATTTTAACTATGTTGATTTTTCCAATCCAAAAACATGGAATATTTTTCCATTTCTTAGTGTCTTCTTCAGTTTCTTTTAATAGTGTCATAAGTTTCATTGTACAGGTCCTTTGTATGTTTCATTAGGTTTATTCCTAGGTATTTTCTTCTTTTTGTTGCAATTGCAAAAGAATTTTTTTCCATTTCTTTTTCTGACAATTCATTATTAGAATATAGGAATGCTTTAGATTTTTAAACATTGATTTTGTATCCTGAAACTTTACTATTTGTTTATTATTTCTGGTAGTGTTTTAGGGGAGTCTTTAGGGTTTTCTATATAGAGAATCATGTCATCCACAAATAGTGACAGTGTGACTTCATTTCTTACTTGGACGCCTTTTATTTCTTTCTCTTGCCTGATTGCACTTGCTATGACTTCTATTATTATATTGAATAATAGTGGTGATAGCAGACAGCCTTGTCTTGTTCCTGATCTTAGAGGAAAGTTTTTTAGTTTTTCACCATTAAGTATAATGTTGGCTGAGAGTTTGTCATATACGGCCTTTATTATATTAAGGTATTTACCTTCTATGCTGATTTTGTTGTGTTTTGATCATAAATGGGTACTGTATCTTGTTAAAGGCTTTTTCTGCATTTATTGATATGATCATATGATTCTTATTTTTTATTTTGTTTGTGTGGTGTATCACATTAATCAATTGCATATGTTAAACCATCAGTGTGCCCCTGGGATGAAGCCCATTTGATCATGGTGTACAATCTTTTTAATGTGTTGTTGTATTTGATTTGCTAGTATCTTATTTAGGATTTTGCATTTGTGTTTAATGAGAGATATTGGTTTGTCATTTTCTTTTTTTGTGTTATCTTTACTGGGTTTTGGTATCAAGGTAATGTTGGCCTCATAAAGTGAGTTAGGAAGTATTGCCTCCTTTTCAATTTTTTTGGAACAGTTTCAGAAGAATAGGTATTAAATCTTCTTTAAATGTTTGGTAGAATTCACTGGTGAAGCCATCTGGTCCTGGACTTTTACTTTTTGGTAGTTTTTTGATGATTGTTTCAATTTCCATACTGCTGATCAATCTGTTTAGAGTTTCCAGTTGTTCATGACTCAGTCTAGGAAGGTTGTATATTTCTAAGAGCGTGTCTATTTCTTCTAGGTTATTAAATGTGGTGTTAGAACTTTAGTTTTTATAGGGCAGAATACAGTGCACAGGAAACAAAGTTTAGAACTTATCTATAGTGGGAAGTCACATTGGAGACACCTACAAAAAGTTTATAATAGGAGGTTCTAAACAAATTTCCGAGGCATGCAAAACAATCCCAGAAGAAAAGTCTGAATTGCAAGAAAAAAATGTGTACATGGGAGCTAGCATAGATTTTTCAAATTTAAGAAAGAATGAAAGGACAAGAATATGTATGACATTTCTGAAGAATAAGGTGGGCATATATCTGTGGGGCATTGGGAGGAAATTGTTCTATCAGAGATTAAGATTTATTATAAAGTTCTAGTCAGTAAAGGTATGTGGAGTTGATGCAGAGATAGACTATCAATTAATAGATAACAGAGCAGAAACAGAACATACATATACAGAAACCTGATTATGTTTTATTATGTTAATATAGTCAGTTAAATCTGATTATGTTAAAGATATCTGGGGAATAAAGAAACTATGCATTAAATCCTGCAGAGACAACTGGTCTATGAATATGGGGGATGAAAAGAGAGGAAGTACATCCTTGTTGGGAGATAATTCTTTATGAGCCTCTCACATTTCTGCATGTCTTACAAACAGAAGCACTGGCTGCCTTTATTCCAGACAATCTTCTTAAAGATGGTTATACAACAAACGAGAGAAAGGAAGTATCTCTCTCTGGAGCTAAGGCCAAGTCATTATTTTTCAGTGTGACATAAATAAGGTGTCCCTCTGGGGCAACAGTCAGGCATGCTTACTACACATTACAAAAATTTGGATTCCCTAAGGTTAAGTTTCCTCTTCTATAACATAACTGTATGTGCAGTAGTCACCTGACCTTTTTTGAATCACCCAGAGGAACTGTCACTGATGCTGATACTCTAGCTACTGCTATTGATGTGAATAATAAAGACTTCTGTATCTGACCCAGGAATCTTGTGTCTTCTGCCAGTATCCATGAAACTGTGGCAGGCTAACTTGTTAGCTTGCAAGTAGAGTAACATCTTAGACTCT